GCGACGTGCGCGCGACAGGAGCGGGACTGGGCGCGCCTCGCACGCGGAAAGGGTGAACTGCCGCTCTCTTGCCGTCGCTCGGACGTCCATTTCCCGTGCATTTGTCGGTTTCGTCCGTGTTTTTGTTTGCTCGATGGTCGAGGATGGTCATCGATGGTTCTCGCCGAGAAAAAATGCACACCTCCGAGCGATGCCAAGTTCTCGTGTTCTCGTATCGGCACCGCGCACATTTTTCAGCCGCTCCTCCGCTCCTCCGCGCGCGGGCACCATGCCCTCCTCCTCCCCGGAGGCAGAGGAGGAGAAGGAGGAGGAGGAGGAGGACGAGGGCTTCGACCATTCGTGGTGCCACTGTCCAGAAATTCGAGCTTCGGAGATGAGGAGGGAGGAGAACAAGGAGGAGGGGGAGGAGGAGGAGGAGGAGGAGGAGGAGGAGGAGGAGGGGGACGCCGTGCCGCGTCAGCCGCTCTGGTCCCAGCGCCGCGCAGCTTCTGCCCGAAGGTGGCCCTCCCGCGCAGGCGCGGCTCGCAATTCGCTCGCGCCGTCGCTGGAAGCGGGGCCGCGACCGAGAGAGGGAAATGTCGCTCCTCCTCCCCCTCCTCCTCCTCCTCCTCCTCCTCCTCCTCCTCCTCCTCCTCCTCCTCCTCCTCCGCGACCGAGCTTCTGCAGATCTCGTACGAAGACTGCACCCCCGCGTGGGCGCGCCGCACACATTGCACTCGCCTGTCCTGTCGGATATTTGTTTGCGAACGAGCTTGCTGGTGATGTTGCCTCAACACCGCGCTTTCGCGTGTGCGCGGCCCGTGGTTTCCTTCGCCATGCAATCCGAAGCGGGGCATCGCACACGCGAGCACCTTCCAATCGCTAGGAGGGAGCGTGCGCCAGGTGATACGCCAGCGTTGATTCTTACGTGATGGGAGGGCGGGTGGGAGTGGTGGGGGGGCGCTGACTCGTTCGAGCTGGGTGGCTTGACTACCCCTGGTACCCCTCAACACATACTCGAACAATACTCAATATGGATACTGCTCCCCTCTCGCCCCCGAAGACGTCCGGTGGGCATCGTGCCCTCTCCGTGCATGGCCTTTCCGGCACACAGGACTTCAAAAATTTTCATTTCAGATGCTCAGAACGTCTCCAATGTTTCAAAACGGCGCTTCCGCTGCAACGTATCGGCTACACGTAAGAGTGACCCTGGGTAAGAGTGACCTTTGGTGCGCGGCGTTGGGGGGGCCGCGGGGAGGCCAAATCCAGGCGCGCTAGCCGCTGCTACCGCATCGCATCGCGTTCAGCCATCTGGGGGCCCATCTGTGCCCGCACCAAAGGTCACTCCGGCGAAGGGTCACTCTTACGTCTAGTCGAACGTAGGCCTAATGTTCAGACCGGCGCTTCACCCCCGTCGGTCAGAATGGCTACCTCGCTCCAGCGCGGGCCGCCTTGCCTGCTCCGACTCTTTCTTCGTCGCTGTCGCCCCGCATTTCTCCCTTCCCCGCCTTCCCCTGGTCGTCCTCTTCCTCCTCGCGACTCTCCCGCTTCTGCGCCTGCTGCTGCTGCTGTCCCTCATTTGTCCTCCTCCTCCTCTTCCTCTTCTTCCTCCTCTTCTTCTCATTGTCCTCCTCCTCCTCCTCCTCCTCCTCCTCCTCCTCCTCCTCCTCATTGTCCTCCTCCTCCTCTTCTTCCTCCTGCCCATCCGCCACTCGCTCCAATGACTACGGCTCCCATGTGCTGATGTGTGCTGACTGCGCGTGCCGCGATGAGGTCCATCTGGGGGGCCCCGGGTCCGCTACGACAGCTTTGGCGCGAGCGCGCCCGGCCTGTCCCTCGCCCTCTCCTCCTGCCCCTCACTTGCCGGGGATATAGCCCGCGGACGTCCGAGGCTCGACCGACGCGTGTGTGGGAGAGGGACGCCGCCCCCCCGGAGCAGGGGATCGACTGCAGAATCGCGTTCCCCCAGAATTGGAATCGTGGGTGGATCTCCAGGAGGTGCTCAGAATGTTCGTAGGTCCACGAACGGTCAACGTGCTTGCTCGCATCCTCGACGAACACATACACGGGTGAATCAGCTCTGCAGTCGATCTCCTGCTCGAGCCCCCATGCCAGGAGCTCCTGCGCAGCCCATGGGTGTACGGGGCGCGCTCGCCCTGGCTCTCTGCCGAAGCAGATCCCGAGCCGTCTCCGCACGCCTCCCCCCCCCTCCCCTCCAGCATTCTCACTGCTCGCACCTGTGGTGGTGGGCGCCCTCTGCCGAGCCATACCCCGAACCATCCCCCCTCCCCCCCCCCTCCGGCACACGCCATGCAGAGGGGCGCAGAGGAGGTGAGGACGCACTGCTTCTCAGAGGTTGCATAGAAAAAAAAAGGGGACGCGCCACTCCTGTCCTTCCCCGCATGACTTCCAGCCTGCCCTCCAGAGCGCGGGGACTCGGGTCCGCTCCCGGCCCCCCTCCAGCACGCCACCCGGAGCGCACGAACTCGGCCCCCACCCCCGCCTCCGGCATGCCCGTCCAGAACGCAGGAACTCTCCCCTCCCTCCTCGCCCACCCCCCTCCCGCCCTCCCCCCCTCCATCCCCGCCTCCCTCCCGCGCTCCGCCCTCCCGCCCTCCCCCCCCCCCTCCCTCCTCGCCCTCCCCGCCCCCCCCCCCCCCTCCCTCCCTCCCCTCCCTCCCCGCCCCCCCTCCTCCCCGCCTCCCCCTCCAGCATGCCGCCCGCAAGAGTGCGGACGGGGGACTCGCCCAGCGACGAGTCCGTGCGCGCGGTGCTGCCGAACGACTCGCTGCCCGCGCGGCGGAGCCGCCGGCGCCGGCGAGGCCGGCGAGGCAGGGCTGCGGGGCCCCCGCCGCGGACGGCAGCGCCTCGGGCGGTCGAGGCGCGGGGGGAGGGGGAGAGGGAGGGGGAGGGGGAGGAGGAGGGGGAGGAAGGGGGAGGAGGAGGAGGAGGAGGAGGAGGAGGAGGAGGAGGAGGAGAGGAGGAGGAGGAGGAGGAGGAGGAGGGGAGGACGGACGAAAAAGGAGGAGGAGAGGAGGAGGAGGAGGAGGAGGAGGAGGAGGAGGAGGAGGAGAGAACCGACCTCGCGGCCGGAGATGTGCAGAGCCCCGGGCCGCCGGGGCGGGGGTCAAGCGGTGCCCGCCGGTCGGAAGGGGTGGGCAGAAGCAGGGATGGGGCTTCCGCCCGCCCCCGGAAGAGGGAGGAGGAGGAAGAGCCACTCGGCGACTGCAGCGGGAGGGCGCCCGAAGTAGGTCGTGGACCTGGAGATCCCAAACTACCTGCTTTAACGACCGGCGTGGAACTACCGGTTCGTGCGTCGGGGACCCTCGCGGGAGTTGCCCCCGACTGGACTTGCCCCGGATGAATCGGGCGTCCGCGCGAGGCGTCAGAGGCTCGTCCTTTTGGGGCTCCGACCGCGCGCGAGGGGCGGCATAGCCATCGACTTGCGGAGGTCGGCGCGGGTATCTGGGATCTGCGCTGAGCCCCGCTCCCTGGCGCGCCAGGGCGCGCCAGGGCGGCGCCAGGGGCGCCGATCCAAGAAAGCCGCGCGGAGCTCCGACAGTTGATGTTCATGCTGTTGTTTCTTGTTCGAGAGCAGTGGTATTGGTACATCTTCGGGCCCCCCGGAAGCCCCGACCCTTTCCTCAAGGCTGGTTTTTGATCCCGAGTCGTTTTTTGACGGGCCCCACGAGGCCGAGCACGGCTTGATTTTGCCACGGCCCGATCATGTCTGCGGAGGGCTCCCCAGGACGAGCAGCGGTGTCAGAGGCCTCTCAAACGAGGTCCGCGTAGAAGAGGTCGGAGGATCGAGCTGCATCGCCGATGCATCGGCGATGCATCGGCGATGCATCGGCGATACGTCGGCGATGCAGCGGCGACGCCGGCGTGAATAAGATTGGGCTTCATACCGAGCCGCATCGCTGATGCATCGGCGATGCGACTCGCAATCCTCCGACCTCATCTTTTTTTTTTTTTTCGTGCAGGATATTGCTCTCAAGGGCTCAACTGCACGGGGCAAGCTCCGTACCACAAGATAGCACATCTACTATGCCGTGCTATGCAACTTTGGGCGTGCCGGCCCACCCGCTATCGATGCGGCCACGGGGCCGGCAGGAAGGCATCTACTCTGACCACATCTGGGATGCCTGGCATAGTTATCCCTTCCTCCTCTTCCTTGGGCAGACCGCGGGCGGGAGCGCGAGGCATCAGCCGGCCGATCGAAGATCGTCCCGCTCCCCCGCGCCTGCGTGAAACACCAGGCGCAGGGAGCAGCACGAGGGACAGAACCCAGTGGTCCGGACGCAACCCGAAGAGAGAGAGAGGGAGAGAGAGAGAGAGAGAGAGAGAGTGCGACGAACATGAGAGCAGACGATGATTAGCATTCAGACAGAGGAGCCCTGACCTTTTGGGATGGGACCAAAGCTAGGAGGGCCAAAAACAACAGGGATGAGGGGATCTCTTCTGCAGATGTATCGAACCAAGCAGTCCAGATCTATGATCCCGAAGTGCAAGAAGACGGGGACCCCAGTCAGGCCACGTCTTTGCTGTGTTATTGGTGCGAGGGGCTCTTTTGCCCTCGATGAGACGATGGTCCGTGATGGTCACCTCTGGGCCACCTCGCCACGCGGCGCCATCGACATCCCAAGAGCCTGTTTTTTTTGGATTCAGGCAAATTTACTTGCATGGCGTTCGCCCCCCCCCCCCCCCCTCGCCCCTCTTCAAGCGAATACTAGCGTGCAAATGCCTTTCGACTTGCGTGATTTCCGCGCCCCCCTCCCGGGGTGCAAGTGCAAGGTGCCATTGGCTTCCGGGCCATAACCCAAGCCTGCGGCGGCCGCCTGGGACGATCCGGCCGGGCGGCCCCGGAACGCTCCCGGCGAGGCGCTCCGCTGCTGGAGCGCACCCCGGAGCTGGAAAAGCCGCCGCGAAGCGACGAAGACGACCGCAACCCTGGAACCTCGAATCGAAAACTCGGCTAGACGTAAGTAGGGAAAGAACAAACCTACCTCGCTTTTGACCACCCTCGCTTCCAAGAGATACCAAACGATGCCAAATTGCAGCCTGTACTGGTCAGGCCGCTTGACGAGGAGGCGCGTGGTATGGCTTGGTTTTGCCTGGAAGCGAAAGCGGGGTAGGCAATTCACGCTCTGAGTAAGAGTGACCCTGGGTAAGAGCGACCTCTGGTGCGCAGCTTTCGGGGGCGAGCGGGAGCCACACCCGAGGGCGCGGGCCGCCTGTACCGCATCGCGCTCGGCGATCGGGGGGCGCCCGCTGATCCCGCACCAAAAGGTCACTCCGGCGAACGGTCACTCTCACGTGCAGTCGAAAAACGACCGCGACGGCCCGCGCCGAGCCTCGCCCGGCACGCGCTCGGGCCGCGGGCGCCTGGCCGCCCACGCCGCGAGGTCCACGAGCGCCTCGCCCGAGCGGCGGCTGCCGCGGCTGTCGCCGAGGCCGCGCACGGACGCCGCAGCGCCGCTCGCGCCGCTCGCCGCTGCCGGCGAGGGCGGGCGCCGCGGCGGCTGCAGCAGCGCTGCGAAGCGCTGGGTGGTCGGGGCGCGTCGGCCGAGGGCCGCACTCGCTGGCACTGGTCGGCCGCACGAGCTCGTCCTCGTCCTCCTCCTCCTCCTCCTCCTCCTCCTCCTCCTCCTCCTCCTCCTCCTCGTCGTAACGACATCGTAACCACCACCATCCATCATCAGTACCTTTATCATGAATCACCATCACCATCACCATCCTCCTCCTCCTCGTCATCATCGTCATCACCACCAACACCATCACCATCACCATCACCATCACCATCACCATCACCATCGCATCGCCATCGCCATCGCCACCACCATCGACATCGCCACCATCTCCATCACCAACACAATCGCTGTGTTACTATATACCCCTGGCATGAAAATCATCTTTATCATCAGCATCATCATCAGCATCAGCATCATTACCATCAACACAACCAGCATCAGCACCAGCACAAGCACCATCATCAACATCCTCATCATCACCATCACCATCACCAGCATCATCACCATCAGCAGCAGTAGCAGCGACACCAGCACCATCACCATCACCATCACCATCACCACCACCATCGCCATCAGCATCAGCATCAGCATCGGCATCATCAGCAACAGCGTCAGTTTCAGCACCACCATCAGCACCAGCACCAGCATCAGCTCCAGCACCATCATCATCATCTTCATCATCATCACCACCATCACCATCACCGCCACCGTCACCGTCACCATCACCATCACCATCATCTCAATATCCGTCATCATCATCATCATTATCATCATCCCCATCACCATCACCGCCACCGCCACCGTCACCATCACCATCTGAATATCCATCATCATCATCATCATCATCATCATCATCATCATCATAACCATCACCATCACCGCCACCGTCACCGCCACCGTCACCATCACCATCATCATCTGAATGTCCATCATCATCGTCATCGTCATCGTCATCATCATCATCATCATCATCATCATCATCATCATCATCACCATCGCCATCACAGCCACCGTCACCGCCACCATCATCATCTGAATCCCCATCACCATCATCATCACCGTCACCATCACCATCAACATCACCGCCACCGCCACAATCACCATCACCATCATCATCTGAATCTCCATCATCATCACCGTCATCATCATCACCGTCACCATCACCACCACCGTCACCATCACCAGCACCATCACCATCTGAATCTCCATCATCATCAGCACCATCACCATCACCGCCTCCGACACCGACACCATCACCAGCACCATCATTATCTGAATACCCATCATCATCACCATCACCATCATCATCATCATCATCATAGCCACCGTCACCGTCACCATCACCATCACGATCAACATTTAAATCTCCGTCATCATCACTACCATTACCACCACCGCAACCGTCACCGTCACCATCACCATAATCACCTGAATCTCCATCATCATCATCACCATCAACATCACCGCCACCGTCACCGTCACCGTCACCATCATCATCTGAATCTCCATCACCATCATCATGATTACCATCACCGCGACCGTTACCACCACCATCACCATCAATATCTGGATCTCCATCATCATCGCCATCAACATCATCACCATCACCGCCACCGCTACCGTCACCATCCCCATCGTCATCTGAATCCCCATCATCATCATCATCACCATCACCATCACAGCCACCGTCACCATCACCATCACCATCACCATCTGAATCTCCATCATCATCATCCCCATCACTATCACCGCCACAGTCACCATCAACAACACCATCATCATATGAATCTCCATCATCATCACCATCAACATCAACATCACCATCACCGCCACGGCTACCGTCAACATCACCATCACCATCATCATCTGAATTTCCATCATCACCATCATCATCATCATCACCATCACCATCACCACCACCGTCACCGTCACCATCACCATCATCATCATCACCTGAATCCCCATCATCATCATCATGATCATCACCATCACCATCACCATCACCGCCACCGCCACCGTCACCATCACCATCATCATCTGAATCTCCACCATCATCATCATCATCAGCATCGCCACCATCACCGCCGCCGCCACCGCCACCGTCACCATCACTATCTGGATCTCCATCATCACCATCACCACCACCATCACCGCCACCGTCACCGTCACAATCACAATCATCATCTGAATCCCCATCATCACCATCAACATTACCATCACTATCACCGCCACCGACACCGTCACCATCACCATCATCATCTGGACCTCCATCATCATCATCATCATCATCATCATCACAATCACCACCGCCGCCACTGTCACCGTCACCACCACCATCACCATATGAATCTCCATCATCATCATCAGCACCATTACCGCCACCGCCACCGTCACAATCACCATCACCACCACCACCTGAATCTCCATCAGCATCATCATCATCAGCATCACCACCCCCGTCGCCATCAGCATCAGCATCTGGATCCCCATCACCATGACCATCATCATCACCATCACAATTACCGCCGCCGCCACCGTCACCATCACCATCACTATCATCATCTGAATCTCCATCATCATCATCATCACCGTCACCATCACCGACATCGCCACCGCCACCATCACCATCATCATCTGAATATCCATCAGCATCATCATCGCCATCGCCCTCAACGCCACCGTTACCGTCACCATCACCATCATCAAAATACCCTTCACCATCATCAGCCTCGCTATCACAGCCACCTTCACCGTCACCATCACCATAATCATCGGAACCCCCATCATCACCATCATCATCATCATCGCCATCATCATCACCGCCACCGTCAACAGCACCATCACCAACATCATCTGCATCTCCATCAACATCATCACCACCGCCATCACCGCCACAGTCACCGTCACCATCACCATCATCACATGAATCTCCATCATCACCATGATCATCACCATCACCATCACCATCAGCGCCACCGCCACCGTCACCATCACCGTCATCATGTAAATCCCCATCACCATCACCATGACCACCATCACCTTCACCATCACAACCACCGCCACCATCACCATCTGAGCCCCAATCATCATCATCACAACCACCATCACCGCCACCGTCACCGTCACCATTACCATTATCATCACCATCACCATCATCGCCACCGGCACCGTCACCATCACCATGACCATCAGCATCTGAATCTCCATCATCATCACCATCATCGGCCGCCACCATCACCAACATCATGTGAATCTCCCTCACCACCATCGACATCATCATCATCATCGTCACCGCCACCATTCTGAACCCCAAGCATCATCAACATCACCATCACCATCATCATCACCGTCACCGTCACCGTCACCATCACCATCATCATCTGAATCGCCATCATCATCATCACCATCATCTGAATCTCCATCATCAGCATCATCATCGTCATCTTCCTCATCACCATCACCATCACCGTCACCATCACCATCACCATCACCATCACCATCATCATCAAAATCCCCATCATCATCAACATCACCATCACCATCACCATCACCGCCACGGCCACCGTCAGCATTACCATCAGCATCGGAATCTCCATCATCATCACCACCATCATCGCCATCACCATCACCATCACAGCCACCGTCACCGTCACCACCATCATCAGCACCACCACCTTCACCGCAACCGTCACCGTCACCTTCATCATCTGAATCCCCATCATCATCATCACCACCACCATCACCGCCACCGTCACCGTCACAATCCCCATCGTCGCCTAAACCCCCCTCATCACAATCATCATCATCATCAGCACCATCACCATCACCGCCACCGTCACCATCACCATCTGAATCTACATCATCATCATCATCACCATCACCATCACCGCCACCGTCACCATCACCATCATCATCTGAATCCCCATCATCATCATCACCACCACCATCACCGTCACCGTCGCCGCCACCATCACCGACACCATCATCCTCTGAATTCCCATCATCATCACCACCACCATCACCGCCACCGTCACCGTCACCACCACCACCATCATCATATGAATGCTCGTCATCGCCATCATCACCATCACAATCACCATCGCCGCCCCCGTCACCGTCACCATCATCATCACAATCCCCATCTGGCCGCCACCGCCACCATCACCACCATCATCTGAATCTCCAGCATCACCATCATCATCACCATCACCATCACCGTCACCACCACCGTTACCATCCCCATCATCATCTGAATCTCCACCATCATCATCACCACCACCATCACCGCCACCGTCACCATCACCATCAGGATCTCAATCACCGCCATCATTACCACCACCATCACAGCCACCGTCACTGCCACCATCATCATCACCATCATCCTCAAAACCTCCATCATCATCACCATCACACACACCACCACCGCCACCGTCACCATCACAATCCCCATCGTCACCTGGATCTCCATCATCACCATCACCATCAGCATCACAATCGCCATGACCGCCACCGCCACCGTCACCATCCAGCATCGGAGACCCCATCATCACCATTCTCATCATCACCACCATCACGATCACCACCAGCGTCACCGTCACCGTCACCATCGCCATCATCATCATCATCTCCATCATCATCATTGCCATCACCGCCACCATCACCGTCACCATCAGCATCATCATCATCATCTGAGAATCCCCATCATCATCACCACCACCAGCACCGTCACCGTCACCATCACCATCATCATCTGAATCCCCATCATCATCTTCAGCATCATCGTTACCATCACCATCACCGCCACCGCCACCGTCACCATCTGAATGTCCATCATCATCATCGCCACACCATCACCGCCACCATCACCATCACCATCACCATCTGAATCTCCATCATCATCATCACCCCCACCATCACCGCCACCGTCACCGTTACCACCACCATCATCATATTAACCCCCTATCATCACCATCACCACCACCACCATCACCATCACCATCACCATCATCATCAAAATCACCATCATCATCACCACCATCACCGCCACCACCACCGTGACCATCACCAGCATCATCACCTGAATATATACCATCACCATCATCATCACCATCACCATCATCATATGACCCCCCATTATCATCATCATCATCGCAAGCGACACCGTCCCCACCACCATCATCTGAATATCAAGCATCATCATCATCACCATCACCATCACCATCACCGCCACCATCACCGTCACCGTCACCATCGCCATCTGCATCTCCATCAACATCACCATCGCCATCAACGCCACCACCACCGCAAACATCATCATCTGCATCCCCATCATCTTCATCATCAACATCACCATCACCACCACCGTCACCGTCACCATCACCATCATCATCTGATCCCCATCATCATCATCATCATCATCGTCACCATCATCACCAGCACAGCCACCGCAACCGTCACCATCACCATCACTATCTTGATCCGAATCTCCATCATCATCACCATCACCATCACCATTACCAGCACCGTCACCGTCACAATCACAATCTGAATCTACATCACCGCCACCATCACAATCACCATCACCACCACCGTCACCGTCACCATCACCATCTGAGTCTACATCATCATCATCATCGTCACATCGTCATCACCATCACCATCACCACCACCGTCACCGTCACTATCACTATCATCACCCGAATCTCCATCATCATCATCACCATCACCATCTCCGCCACCATCACCATCACCATCATCATCTGAATCTCCATCATCATCACCATCACCATCACCGCCACCGTCACCGTCACCATCATCGTCTGAGTCTCCATCACCATCATCATCATCATCACCATCACCGCCACCACCACCGTGACCATCATCATCTGGATCTCCGTCATCATTCGCATCATCATCACCATCACCACCACCGCCACCATCACCAGCACCATCATCATCTGAATCTGCATCAGCATCATCACCATCACCGCCACCGCCGCCGTCACCATCATCATATGAATCCCCATCATCATCACCATCATCACCATCACCATCACAGCCACCATCACCATCATCATCAGAACCTCCTCTCTCCGCCACCATCACCGCCACCGTCACAGCCACCATTACCATCATCAGCTGAATCCCCATCACCATCACCATCATCACCATCACCATCACAACCACTACCACCATCACCATCATCATCTGAATCTACATCATCATCATCAGAATCACCGTCACCGTCACCGCCACCATCATCACCTGAATCCACATCACCATCATCATCATCATCACCGTCACCGCCACAAAGGCCACCACCATCATCACATGAATCTCCATCATCATCATCATCATCACCATCATCATCACCATCACCGCCACCGTCACCGTAACCAACATCACCTGAATCTCCACCATCAACATAATCAGCAGCATCACCATCACCGCCACCATCACCATCACCGTCATCATCTGGATACCCGTCACAATCACCATCACCACCACCGCCACCGTCACCGTCACCATCACCATCATCATTTGAATACCCATCATCATCATCACCACCATCACCGCCACCATCACCACCACCGTCATCTGAAACTCCATCATCATCACCATCACCGCCATCGTCACCGTCACCATCACCATCATCATCTGAATATCCATCATCATCACCATCACCATCACCATAACCGCCACCATCACCATCACCATCATTATCTGAATCTCCATCACCATCATAATCATCAACATCACCTCCACCGTTACCGTCACCATCGCCATCATCATCTCAGTGCCCATCATCATCATCACCATCAGCATCACCGCCACCGTCACCATCACCATCATCATCTGAATCTCCATCATCATCATCAGCACCATCACCGCCACCGTCATCGTAGCCATCATCATCTGAATCCTCATTATCCTCATCACCATCACCATCACCGCCACCATCACCATCATCATCTGAAACTCCATCGTCATCATCATCGCCATCACCGCCACCGTCACCATCATCTTCTGACTAGCCATCATCATCACAATCACCATCACCATCACAGCCACCATCACAATCACCATCATCATCTGAATCTCCACCATCATCATCACAGCCACCGTCACCGTCACCATCACCATCACCATATGAATACCCATCATCACCATCACCATCACCATCAACGCCACCATCACTATCACCATCATCATCTGAATATCTATCATCATCACCACCATCACCGCCACCGTCACCGTCACCGTCATCATCTGAATCGCCATCATAATCGTCATCGCTTTCACCATCACCGCCACCATCACCGTAACCATCATTATCTGAATCGACATCATTTTCATCATCACCATCACCGCCACCGTCACCTTCACCATCATCATCATCATCATCTGAATCCCCACCATCATCATCATCATCACCATCACCATCACCGCCACCATCACCATTACCATCATCATCGGAATATCCATCATCATCATCATCACCATCACCGCCACCATCACCATCACCATCATCATCTGAACCCCCATCACCATCATCATGACCATCACCGCCACCGTCACCGTCACCATCACCATCATCATCTGGATATCCACCATCATCATCATCACTCTCACCGCCACCTCCACCATCACCATCACCATCTGGACCTCCATCATCATCATCATCCTCACCATCACAGCCGCCGTCACCGTCACCATCACCACCATCATCTGAATATCCATCACCATCATCACCACCATCACAATCACCGCCACCATTGACGCGTCAAGGACGGTCAGTGGCGAAAACGAGGGATGTCTTTTCTCTCGCAAGAGACATGGTGTCGAAAGGTGCCTGAGTCAAAACAGCAGCAGATGTGCACACACGTGCGCACACACGAATGTGTAACAAGTAAGCATGCATGCAGCATAAGAGATGATTAAGCTCAAACTGGTCATATTTCCACAGCAGGCCCAATTTTAAGTGAGCTTAAAGTCGTCTCACGTGTTGGGCAGGTGAAAAGCTGCACGACTGAAAGCTCTAGAATATTCTGGCAAAACTGCGTCGTCTTCACGACTGAAACAGCTGTCGAAGGGAAGCGGCTCGGGATCGATCTCGGGAGGTCGGATCGTTGCGTCGGGCGGAGATACTGTCCTCTTCTGGAGTGAGCTTCATGATGCCGGACTTCAACATCTGCAACTGGGCCGCGTTACATTTAGCTAGGTCGGCCTTCGTCAAAGCGTCGACCGTCATCGCCGGATGGGGTACCCAGCGAATAGTTCCGCCGAAACGCCCCAGGTTGTCCCTGCAGACCGAGAGGTCGATTGCCGATCGTCTGTCGTTTTTCGAACCGGTCGAGTCGCGTTCCAGAGTATCGAAAATCCCCTTCGCATCTGGTATGCTCAAGTTTCCGTCCGGCTGAACGTTCAGGGAACAATCGGATCGAAGAACAGCGGCGAACGGACCCAACTTGTCACGCCACTCCTCGGTGACCACCCCGCCCTTCAGCACGTCTAGGAAAAGCAGCTGTAGCCACTCTGCCTCTGCCAGGGCTCCTGAAAGGGACTGAACCTCGCCGGCCTAGGTAGAAGGAACGGCCCTCTTGGCTCGGTGCGAACGCCACGCTAGAGGGGATACCCTGGCCCTGGAACCCGAAGCAATCACCCGATCTGCGGCGTGCACCTGCCAGGCCAGCTGAGCCTTGTCGGCATCGCTGGCAGCGACGCCGCCGGCGTCGGAAGAAGTGACGAAGATAATGTCGTCTGGCCTGAACTTCCAGAGAGTGATGGGGATAGCTGCTGTCTGTCGAAGATGATCGACCATCTTGTTAGCGAGCAACGCGTCCCCCACGGAGGGATTCTCTACCCTGGAAGCCAAAATAGATGCCGTACCACATGCTTCTGCCCGAGTTTCCCTGCCGACCCAATTGAGCCGGTAGATAAGCGACCTGAACTCCGTCTTCTCGCGGCCCACCAGGGGCTGGTCATGCCGACCTCGTCGGTCCCGGGATATATGAAGACGATGTAGATTTTCTAATATATACTTCTGCTGGTCGACTAGAATACGATCGTGTAGGCGTCGAACTCGACGTCCGATATACTCCACTCCTTCCGAATCTACTGTCCTAAGCTTCCCGAAAACAAACCTGTCGGTGAAGGCCTTAATCTGGCCATCTCGGACACTATCAGCTAAGCCAATGGCCCAGTCATCAACCTCGATCAAAACCATGGCGTCTGGCCCCTTAGGGCCACGGCGGACCATCCAGCACGGCTCAAGCTTGGATCTGACATACCCTAGCGACTCGAAGAATCGAACAGTAGTGCGATGAAGGGCGAGAGGCGCGTCGTCCAGTCCGTAGACTGGAGCGACCAGCTCAATAAGACTTCCCGCCTCAAGGTCCAATCCCTCGCACGGTTCGACGAACACCCGACCGCGACTCCTCCGTAGAGGATCGGACTGGCAAAACGCGTTCTTCAAATCCCCTATCGTCAGCGACATGCCTAAAGCCAGGGCCGCCGTAAGAAACAGCATTAACGACTCCATCTGAAGTGTAGGGGAGTACACCCTCAATTCATGAGCATCCTCGTCTTCGCGGCCTCGGACGCACCACCGGCTCTTAGCCAGTGGCTTGCTGTAACACCCCTCCTGTGGTTTCCACCGACGCACCGTACGAGACGACACGACACGACTGGGAAACAGAGCCCTGAGACGCTCCCCCTCCGCCGGAGGGTGGACATGCACGGCCCCGGTCCCCGAGACGCTCAGCCACTCCTTGGCATCGGACTCTCGAAAGGCCTTTCTCCCTTCCGGGTCGAGCTTGGACATCGAGACCTCGCCCCCCCTGGAAGTAGCAAGGGTGAGGGCCCCCTCGGAGGGAGATCCGGGCTCCCCTGGAATGAGCTCGACATCAGCGTTACCGTTCACGAAGTGCGTCCAGTCTCCCGACCAGCCTTGTTCGACTAAGCCCTCCGAGAGTGAGGTAAAATACTGCTCAGACTGTTCTGGCGAGAGAGAGAGAGAGGAGAACTGCGGCGGCGGCGGTCATCTGACCAACTTCCCTGTCTTGCCGACTGGCCCGAATGGGGCTCCTGGAATTGCGTCTCAAAGATTCCCTATCCGCGATCCGGCCCTGAACCGACGCATCGCCTCTCTGAAGATCTTCTTTTGGTCGGGGCAGCCTGTTGAGACGATCTCCGTAGCGGCTCAGATCGCTGGGCCTCGACCTGACTGCTGCATCGAACTGTTCGCGAGACAAGAGAGGGCGATCCCACGCTCGCGCGCCCATATCCCTCACGCGGTTGGCTTGGATCAAAGCAAGTTCTCGCAGACGATGGTCCTCGTCCGCGGGTCCGACCGGCAAGGCCGCCTCTGAGGGGCCGAACTGGGGGGGGGGCCGGAGGAGCCGGGGGCTGGGCCTGAGTTTCCGGCACGGAACCTTCCGGATGGACCCCGCGCTGCAGGCTTGGACTGCTGGAACCCTCCATGCCAGGTCTGACCGGGGCACGGTCCTGGGCTGGGGTCTCGAACTCCTCTGAGATGCCTGGCATGCCTCCGTCCGCATTCGACTGGGCAAGATCGGGGCCCCTTCTCTTGAAGCCGGAGCTGGCCCCCCCGGCAGTGTCTGAGCCACTTTCCGACGTCTGATCCGAGGGAAGGCCCGTGCGAGAGGAGACCTCACGGGACATCGGCTGCTCTCCGAGAGGCGCAGAGGAGGCGCCAGACCGAAAGCGGGGGGGCGGAGACAGCTCGGGCGGAGGGACGTCGGCACCTGGCTCGCCCGCCGCTCGAGCGGGCGGAGAGAGCTGGCTTGAGTCGGGAGCTGCCGGGGGGGAGGAAGAGGGGCGTGGACTGCCTCACGATCCCCGCTGACTGGACCGTCCCGCTCTTCATCGGGAGGGGGCCCCTCGCGGGACACATCCACACGGGTTCTCTGGGAACCTGACTGCACCTGGCGAACGAGGTCCTGGAGGGCCGTATCCTGGAGCATCTCGGCCCCTCGGGCCTCGGGGCCGGACGCGGAACGGAGCTGTTCTGTCGCGCATTTCCAGAGACGGGATCTCATGGAGACCCACGCGGAATTCCCGTACTGGAAAACAACCAATCCAGGACCGCACCAGCGATCCCGCTGCATGGCGAAGGTTTTCTTCTGCTGTAAGGCCGGTGCTCGACGCCGCACATATACCCAATCGCCTGGAGCATATTTCGGATCCCGGTGCTTGGGGGCTCTTGCCGCCGAGTGCACCTTCTCCCGGCAGCTGCCCTCGAAGAGCATGGTCCGCGCCCGCTTCCTGATGGCCATGGCTCTAGAGAAATCCGCCGCAGCAATGTCCTGGTCCCAAACCCCTTCGGCCATATCATCCAGGCCCACTCGATTAACCAGATCGTCCGACAATAAATCCTGTGGAACTCTAGGGTTCCTTCCGAACACGAGTTGGTTCGGGGAGAACCCTCCTCTGTGAAGCTACGAATTCTTCGCGGCGGTTATCTCGTACACCAACAGCTCAGACTCACGCTCCGTGGACACCGGGGCCCCCTCGGAACCTCTGAGAGCCAGGTCCTTGACCCAACCCCCGTGCCGCTCGCAGCGGCCGTTTTCCCGCGGAGCTTCGGCGCTGGTAACATGCTGGAAGGTTCCTCTCTGCTCGGTGCCGCGGGAGAATTCGCCCTGAAATTCTGGACCACCGTCCGTGATCAGAAGTTCCGGGGGAACGAAATATCGCAACCACGACGACACGAAACACTCCCAAGCTTCACGGGCACCCCCCTCGTATCGGGCCACGACCTGATAGTTCGTCCCGTGACAAATCATGTTCAAAAAAGTAAAGAGTTTTCCTCCTAAGCTGAGGTGCAAGGAATCAACAGCTACCACTCTGTTCAACTGGTACGTGCGAGGCATCGCAACATATCTCCGATGTGCAGGGCGGGGATGAGACTCACAATCTGGGCAAGCAAACTCTCGCCGCACGTGCTGCAAGACCTCGGGCTTCGCGTGAGCCCCTCGGAGTATCTGCAGAAAGAGGGGACGAGCGGGGTGGCCTAGGTTCGCATGCACTTTCTGAATCAAGTTACGCACCCTGGCGTCGATCTCGAGAGGTGGAGACGCGTGCTTGTCCTGACCCGTCTGGTCCTCGGGACCTGGACCTGACTCGTCGTGTTCGAGTTCTTCATCCGCGAGGTCCCCGGGATCAATCACCGACGGGTAGCAAGACCACAAAACATCGGGAATCAGGAGTGGGCTCGGCTCGATCTGGCACGGTAGCTCCTTGCGAATCCAACCGAACACGTCCGAAGTTCTGGCCTGTCTGGCCCTTCGATCCAAGAACCCCCCGGTGATCCTGGCCAGATGCTGCGCCAAGCCGGGGAGGGTAGACCTGAGCCTTAGATGTTTGGGCAGACCCTTGCAAAACGTGATGGGGGTGGCCACCCTCACAGCGATGCCCTGAGAAAGAGGCGAGCAACTCCGAATCGTTGCTGATGACTCTAGTCGGCTTCTTTGATAGCTCTCCGGCACTGTCCACGCATAAACCATAGCGACACATGTCGAAAACGATCGATTGCACCCCCGGCAAGGACAAAAGCTTCGCCATGTGCTGAGACTTCCAACTGGACGCCCCCTTGGGATGTTCCAAAACAAAGACCCCTCCGAGAGAGACCTGAAGCTCAGCCAGCTCGATGGCGAAACGAAGCAGAGCCGTGCCCTCGATCATGGCCTTGGCTCTCTTGGCTGGGTCCATCACATTTTTTGAAATCTCGAAGGCCACACTGAAAACCCTGCAGGGAGGCTCCAAGAAAAGGACCCCGGGCCTCCTGGACCGGATAAGGTCCCTCGCCAGACGTCGGTCCTCGGGGCGCCGAAAATCCCAGCCCGTGGACAGATCCAAGCTTCCCTGATCCGCAACCCCCAACTGGCGAGCCGCTGTGCATATCCGGGGTGGCGAGAAAACCTCCATCATGCCCCGAGACAGACCCTCCTTCCTGCGACGATCCACTTCCCGACGAGAGAGAAGGGAAGAAAGGAGAGAGGACGAGTCCTGGGGCGGGGAAGAGGACGTAGAGGGCGGACAAGCGCTCGACCCGGGACAGCGAGCACGGGTGGAGATTCCCTGAACTTCATCCCCGGGTGGTGTTTGCTGTCCAGGAAGCTCTTGCTGTTCATCGCCACTCTTTCCTGACTTGACCGCCAGAAGAGCCCACGCCGTTTTCTCCAGTTCTCGCCTCTGACGTCTCGGTATCGTCGTCTCGTAGTCGTCGTTAAACTCGGCATCCCGGATGGCGGGGGCCCAGCCGTCATGACGGACAGCTAAATGGCACTCGCTCTCAACGGGAAAGGAACTCGGATAATCCTCCGAGCTGAAAAGCACCTGCATCCGGTCGTGCTGTTTATCGAAAAGAACCCATCTGTGCCCCCTTTTTCCGATGCTTCTTCCACTCCTCCTCTGTGCACCTCGGGAAATAGAATAGCTCGGGTGCCCGTGCCTCCAGTTGCGAAACGATGCGCTGGAGATAAAGGGATTCGCAGCCGACCTCACTCACGAATCGGCTCATACCACAACTCGTCCCAGATTCTACGCGAGGCTTGGCGAAGCTGCCGCTGCCGCCGCTGGAGACTGAGGTGGGGGCTGGCCGATCACATCCCACCTGTCGGTCTGGCGCGGGGTGCCCGGGGCGGCCGTTGTGATCGCCGCCGCATGCTGCTGCTGGAGCTGAACCATGTGCGGCCGCAGGAGGAACTGCGGTGCCTGGCCGTGCTGCTGGAGGGACTCGTTCGGCAGCTGAATCGCGCCCTTCAGCTCCTTCATGTCCTTCGCGAGGCTGCTCTCGGACGTCCTGGGGCGGCTCTCCCGCTCTGCCTGGGCCAGCTCGTCCACCTGCATCGGCACATAGGAAGGTCTCGTCGCGGCACCCGAGCGCATCTGCCTTTTCACTGCCGCCGGACTCTTGGAGTGGTCGGTCTTGACGAGTTTGCTCAAGAGCTCCTCCTTGTCGTCCTGGCCCTTGTTGTACCGCCGAATGTTCGGCGCTACAGGACCGCCCGACAATCCCGACCCCGTCTCCGCGCTGTAGTCCGGGTCGCCCTTGATCGTCAGGAGCTGCGGCTGCATCTCGATCTTCGGGCGGCTCCAGTAGGCCAGCCTCGCGTCGCAGTCGATGCACTTGATCCATGTCGCGCTGGCGTTGGCTCCGACACGGCGCCTCAGCGGGTTGCGGCGGCATTGCAGCATCCCGACTGTGAGGTGGCGCTGTCTGCGAGTGAAGGCCACCGGCCAGAGGCGGCCCGTGCGACTCAGGTTGAAGATCGACAGGCCGAGTGCCCCCTCCACCCTGAGGCCCTGCGAGACGATGTGAACCCAGCGGAGGTGCTCCAGCTGCCTCTCCTCCGGTATGTCCCGGCCAGTCGGCGCATAGTGCTGGTCTGTCATGCCGGTCGTGCGCGGTATCTTCCAGGAAACTCTGTGGAGAACTCTGAAGGGGATCACAAATCGAATCGGTATGGAGGCTTGAGCAAAACGAAACGGACCGGAACGCCTTGGAGGCGCAGTGGTTTTCCCGAACGTTTGACGCGTTTGAACGTTCTAGCGTTTTTTTTTTTTTTTTTTTTTTTTTTTTTTTTTTTTTTTTTTTTTTTTTTTTTTTTTTTTTTTTTTTATTATTTTTTTTTCTCCCCTCCGATCTGCGTCCGGCCTCGAGCCCCCAGGTGTTTTGTTGAGAGCCCCCTTTTTCCCCTCATGGCCTGTTGTTTCGTAGGATACTGATGCTGGATAATCTTGAACATGTACGGTCTCACGTGATACTGATACTGGATAATCTGGAACGTGTGCTGGAATTGATGCGGAATACTCTGGACAGTCTGGAACGTCGGCAGCATCGCGTCGAGTGGATTCGCGTCGGTCGTGAACTTGGTCCCCGGACCCTCGGCTCGGACCCTGGACCCTCGATCTACCCTCGCCTAGCTCCCTTGACTGGCCGCTCGTCGCTGTCGGACCGACGTCGGCGCTATGATACGCCGACGTCTTGTACTGCGGCCCAGGCTGCCGCACGAAGTCCTGCTTCGAAACACCAAACTTGCTCGACGCCGACTCTGGAACATGAAAATCGTCGGGCGAGCCGAGCTCGTCGATCCTGATCGTCCGATGCCCGGGCGAAAGCGACTTCAAAGGCGTCGTCGTGTCTAAATTCTTAAACGTAACCTTCTCTTCTGGAAGATCTATGATGGCTCCGAGAGCCTCCTGCATGCCGATTGGCATCAAGGCTGCAACCTCCCCACTGATCAAATCGAGCTGCATCGCACCGTTGCGGCCCTCTATCCCCGTCGGGACGAGAAGGCCGGTCGAAACATTAGAGAGGGCGTGATCCACCGCCGCTTTACTGTGGAAAATTGCCAACCTTTTCCTCCGGAACCCGGGGGTCGCCCCCCCCCCCCCCCCTCCGAAAATCCCCCCCCCCCCCTGCTGGAACCCCTCCCCCCCCCCCCCCCCCCCCTCCCCCGGCAAAACCCCCCCCTCCCTAACCCCTCCCTCCCCCCCTCCCCCCCTCCCGCTCGAAAACCGGGGGGGGTCACTACCGGTTCGAACCCCTCCCCCCCCCCCCCCCCCCTTCGGATCCGGAAAACCGGGGGGGGGTCACTACCGGTTCGAACCCCCCCCCCCCCCCCCCTCCCCCCCCCTACTCACCGCCAGCAAACGACTCCCGGTCCCCACCACCGTCCGCATCACATCCCCCACTGGTGTTCCCAGCACCACTGTCCTCACCACCGCTGTCCCCACTGGTTCCACCACCGCCCCTACTGTCCCCACCAGTGGCCCCACCACTGTCGCACTGTCCCCGCTGTCCCCAGAACTGTTCCCACCACGGTTCCACTCTCCCCACTGTCTCCACGGCCCCAACCACTGCCCGACTATCCCCACTGTCCCCACTGTCCCACTGACTCCTCCGCTGTCCCACTGAGCTGTCCCACTGTTCCCACCACTGTCCCCACTTTCCCCACCACTGTCCCCACTGTACCTCTGTCCCATTGTCCCACCGCCGTCCTCGCCACCGCCTTCACCACTGTCCCCACCACCATTGTACCCTCCACTGTCCCACTGTTTCCACCTCATTCCCATTGTCCCCACACCACTGTCCCCACCACCACCGTCACCACCACTGTCCACTGTCCCCCCCTGTTCCCACCATTGTCCCCACCACTGTCCCCACCACTACCGTCCCCACCACTGTCCCACTGTCCCACTGTCCCCACCACTGTCCCGCTATCCCCTCACCACTGTCCCACCAACACCGCCCCCACCTCTGTCCGCACCCCCACTGGGTTTTCGAGAGGGGGGGGGGGGG